CACAGCACCCGCCAGCCCACCCTCGACGCTCATTGTGCTTTTGCTTACAGTTCATTTTCATGCTTGTGTTGTACACGGCATTCACAGCTAATGGCTTTAATATGCTAATGCTGCGCCGCATTCACAACCTCTGGTGGGACATAATTCACCACGCATTAGAACAGTAAAGGTTACCATTACATGTTGAGAAGTCTATTATCATGATACCCATATATGGACATATTACAAATCCTTCCCACAGGCTATAAACGTAATTACAGCCACGCTGGACTATCGTGGCTTCTATCATGGTTTTTTTTTTTTTTTTGGTATCCAGTAATGCCTTCCATTTACCTGCTCCAGTCCATCATTTAACTTTGCATTTCCACAGATTCCAACCATGTTGATGCAAACCTCTAGTCGAAACGAGCATTAAAAGGATTTGTACCAGTTTGCAAACACGATGGGAAAAGCTGTGCTTTACAACCTGACCTCCTATCAGCCGCAAAAACAAATAAATCTTTGTAAATCTGTTCCAAATCAAACGCCAGAAAATGGTGTTTGTTCCATGTGGACCGCATACAGATGCAGGGAGAACTGAACTAAGCCAGGTGTGAATTGTGATGGAAGATATGTGTGTGTGTGTGTGTGTGTGCGTAGTCATTGTGTGTTTAAGGTATTCATGAACACAATACCCATCTGTATTTGTGTCTATACGTGACCGCTCTGTAGAATATGTGTTTAAAGTTTTAAGGGAGACTGATTCGACCAAACATGCTTTGTTGTTGGGTATGCTGAGATCTGCCTAAAGGGGGCATCGTTTCTCTCCTTGTTGTTTTCCAATAATAAAACATTATTTGGTTGAAAATGTCAACCAGAAATATGTGAGATTTTCAAAGTTTATGTGCGATTGTGGGGACAAGCTTTGGTTTGAAGTCAGTGTTTTAGTCTCAGATTCTGATCAGGACCACAGTGTAATAGCTTCAGTCAGGGGTGAGGGGCTATGGGTAATGCTTCTGTCAATGAGAATGTGAACAAATCACAAACCCAGGTGTGTGTGTGGGGGGGGGGGGGGGGGAGGAGGGGAGCAAATAAAGGCAGGAACAAAGCAAGTGAGCTGTTTGGGGGAATAAAATGAGGAGAAACAGGTCAAAATGAAAGAAAATAGAAAGCGGAAGAGTGGAAGGAGGGAATAAATGAGAGATGACGTGTAGGAAATAGGAAACGGGGCTGTGATGTGCCCCTGGAGCAGGTTATTGGACGCCTCGTGCCTCGGGGGGCTTATTTAAGCGTGGCTAACAGATTTCCTCCGTCCCTGCAGGAGGTGTTCCTCAGAACTACAGACCAGAGGAGCACAGTCACGTCAGGATGCATGACAAGGAAATGGAGCACTTAGTCTTTAAACAACTTCTGCCCCAGCGTCTGTCACAGCAGGGGAGGGAACTCCTCCACCAATAAGTACTGTTTAACTATTGTCAAAGAGCCAAGCTGAAAAGGCAGATACAGAAAATCAACGGCATCACGTCCGTTTTCAATTCTTTTCTGACATAAAAGCATTCAGTGCGGGTCGAAAACGTCGACATTTGACATTCTAAACCTCTGCTCCGGCCTGAAACAGCCACAGCATCATTACAATCACCTTAAGTTGACATTTCAGGTGTTGCGTCATCTTTTTCTCATCAGTTCTTTTCAAGGTGCAGAGCCTAAGTTGCAGAATCAGTGCTTTTGTCCGTGATGTGTGCCTGAGGCGGAGCAGGTTTCCTTTTCTAAAGTGAGGTGTGAACCAGTTCACAGCTGCTGATGAACACTGATTCTTCATCCTGCTCAGCCTCTTATTCAGCAGCACAGCCCACAGCGCTGTAATCCACAGCCTCAGGGTCCAGGCCCGGTTCACGGCCGACACCAAAGCCCCGCTCTTCATACCAAGCTAATTGAACCGTTCTCATTTGCATCAGAACACACCAATTTTACCTTCACACACGAGCTTTGAAGTTTGTCAGAATCAGCGTCCCACTCCACCATGAGGCTCAGAGACCCAGGCCCAGGTCTGTGCGGTGGATTCCTTTCCCTAATGACAGTAATTGCAGTGAGGAAGCTCCCGCTCATGTTCAATTACCCGTGCCCATTCTGAGCCCACACTTCTAATCTTGCAGTGTAACGTATGATACAGATGGCTGTAGATGGCAGACACATTTATCACTGCAGATCTTTGAAGGAACGTGTGAAGTCCTGCCGGAGAGCTGCGATTCATTTAGATGGAGTGGAAGTGGAGGGAGTTTTTTTGTATCTGGTTTTTGTGGCGTTGAGGGAGTTTTGTCAACGTCAAGAGCAAAAATATTTCAACACATTGATCCGCAGTAAAAAAAAACATTAAATATTATACTGTCGGACTAAAGCTGGACTAGTAGATATTTATAAATCATTCATATATTTGGAAATTCAAAATTTAATACAAAAAAAAATTATATTCATTAAAAATATATAGCTGGCTCTCCTATCCCTTCAGGTACTGATGCTAACAGGTGACCAATCTGATGCTAGCTAGGAACCAGTGCATGTTAGCAGGTTCCATCCACATAGTGCTGCTCTAATACACAGCTGTTGTAATTTACACACGTTCTGGGAAAAGGTTTTTGTTTCACTGAGTCAAATCAAGATTAAAATAGCAGCTCACCACCGGCTTCAACCCCAGTCCTAAACATAAGTCATTTTTAAACTTGGATAAACTGGATCATGTGTCTCATGTTGTCATGAGTTATTGATTCTTTCAGCTGTGTTGTTGTCATGAGTTATTGATTCTTTCAGTTTACGACTTGGGTCTGATGTGTGAGAAAATGATGTTTTTTTTTCCAGCCAATGAGATTTTAAATTAATGTTAGCTTGTTAGCCAAACTGGTATCTAACCAACTCGGGCACGCACACACAGACAAACACACACACAAAATGTAGCTTTAATCCACTTAAGGATGTTGCCAGCTCAGCCGTGGACACAGAGGAATTAAAACACAGCTCCCCTGAGGCGTCAAGACTGAACACTATCACAGCTGCGTCCAATCATTAGAGACATATTCGTCTGTAATTGAACACATTTTCATGTTTATGACAAGGACAGGGGTCCGATCCCATCTGAGCCGCAGCTCAACGTCAGCATCGTTGGACTTACCCCAGAGGCTTCTCCAGTCGACTGGCGGGTGAGCCAACGATCTCCCCCAGCGTGCAGTGGACCTGGCCCAGGAAGTCCTACCATGAAGGAGGAACATAAGATGGGATGGAGAGAAAGATACAGGTTGGGGCAAAGGATGGGGCATTCAAAATGGACCACAGATGGGTAACAAGGAAAATCAGTGAGGTGTTACGCAACACTAGGAAAAAACTGTACGCTTGTAAATTAGGGACATATGAGTCAAACACGTACGTTAAAGTCGGTGGGCTTCCGAGGCGGAGAAGGAGGTGGAGGAAAAGAGAGAGGCCAGGCGGCAGAAGTGACACAACAGAGCATATCATGGAACAGAAGGCACACAACTCAAATACCAGGCTGTCAGTAACAAAGTGCGAGGAAGAGTGAAAATGTAAAAAGAGCAGATAACGTGCAGAGGGGAAGGTTAAGAGTCTCCGAGAAGAGACGGTGAGCAGAAGAGAAGAAAAAGAAAAAAACGGGGCTTCAGACAAGTAACACCTTGTTTACAGAGCATAAATTGCAGGGCAAAGGCACAGCAAAGTGCTCCACGGTGACAGAAGCAGAGTTAAAGGAACGTTCTGGCCATTTTTACACAGAACTGTTGTTTGGGGTGAGAGGGAAAAAGAAAACATTTGGTCAACAAGAACTGAGTTGTGTTTACTCTAGTGGCAGACTTCAGGATAAAGTATTATTACAAGTGCCATGCAACATGAACCTGAATATTTATTAACCCAACTGTGGAAACAGAGCAGTAACGACCCAGTGTTTCAGGCACATACTGTACATCTAGTACAGATTGTTGAACTTGATGATGGGTTTTATTTTTATCTTTATTATAATTAATATATAAAATGTAAAAAACATTAGCAAACATTGCTACTATGACAAGTTCAAATGTACAGCCCTGCCTTCACCTAAAGCTAGCTGCAGTTGCACTTATTGCCATGACGATGCAGCAGGTGCAGAGGCAGCCTGGGCTACGTTAGAGGGCTGGGGAGGTAGTTCTATGAGCCTTGTGACTGTGTAGTCACTAAGTTTAGACTGTAGTCTTTAACCACAGTGTCTATGTGAGAAACCTGTTCATGTTGGATTGCACTTTGATGTGATATTTTGAGGAGTAATATTCAGATTCATCCAAGAATAAATGTTCAGCTCCTGTTGTCTATGGTGAACAATTGTTTTCTTTTTTTTCTACTGACATTAGTAGGTAATGTCAAACATCATCTAGTTTTATCTATTGTTTTAATATAAACAGATATAAAGGTTTCTTCTATAGGACACAGAATGTTCAGTTCTATGCAAACCAAGTACTTTTTTATTATTATTATTCATCAAAGCGTTCAGTCTTCATTATGACACTAATGTGGTTCAGCATGTTGAAAAAACTGTATTTAACTGTAATTGTTGCAGAGATCAGATGTGTGTGTAGAGCAGACTTTGTCTTTGGTTTATACTGCAATCCATGTCACTTCTGTCCCTGTCAGATAAAATATTTCTACGTTTTCTTTTTAACCGTGACACGAACATTTCAATCTAAACTGCAGAGACCAGAGAGCAGAAAGAGAATCTCGTTAGAAAGCTTTGAAAATGATATGCATTGCTTCATTTCTAATTTTTCTATAAAAATGAGATGAGGATATGCCAGATGCCAATGAAAGTTTAATTATTATTGCTCGGGGGAAATAAAACTGCTCGTTTTAAAAAGCGAAGCAGATGGGAGGTGGAGAAAAGTAAACATTTTATTGTCGGCACATCAAACATAATTGTACTCATTATTGTACAATATATATGAGAGCATTCAGGTGCCAGTAACGTTTGGTTTGCATACAACCCTCAGTCAATGAGACGTGCACTAATGAGGAGGCTGAAGATGAGCGAACAAGTAGGGGAGAAGAAGCTGGAACCACAAGAAGAAAGTTCATCACTTACATGTTTTGCCAGATCTGGACTTTTGGAGTCGACGTCGTACCTGAAATAGAAGAGGCCACAAATCACAGAGGTAAAGATGGGGGGGGGGGGGGCGGAGGCACGGAGGGTTCCCCAATACAACCCAGCCACCCC